AAAAAATTCAACATAATAAGTTGCCGTTAAATAACTAACGGCTGAGAGACATTTTTAACCTTTGGATTGTAAAATTAAAGTACAATACATTTAATTAAATGTACAAGTTTACTGTGCCGTCTGTGCATGCAACAATTGCCGCAATTGAAGGATAAGCCACAGATCAGATTCATATTTATAAGTTTTAAGGATTAAGGATATACGAGTAAGTTTTTAGGATATACGATCGAGTAATATGATATGCTCAGTCCTTTATTTACTTCTCTACGAAAGATCAGAGCACTATTTTATAAAACGAATTTAATTTTTATGCATGCATGCACGTTTCAGAAGAACAAAAAAATCATGAACATATGTTGAACATAGTTTAATTAAAATAATTGTTTCGGGATAGTTTTTTTTATGGACAATTGTTTCGGGATAGTTAAAAGATGTAATAAAATCAAAATAATTGTTTCTTTTCATGTCATTTCTAAATGGGTTTTTCCATCTTTTGACAACATGAGTTTTTCCATCAAATGACATGCAAAAGTCTTGTTCTCTTCGTCCGGACTCTACGGTCTACACAACTTTTAGTGTAGAGAGAACATATGGGTCATCATCATAAGAGTAGAGAGAAATGACATGCTAAAAAAATAAGTACAATAATTCTCGTCTATTATTCTCCGATTTAATATTTTAATTTTTATATTTAATTTTTATCACATTTGAGTTTTTTTGTGACTTTATAAACCATTTAATATAGTTTCTGAATATGTAAATTTTATTTTAATAAACAAATTTAATAACCAAGAGAGATTATATCTACTAATTTTATGGTTAGTCAAATTAAACATCGTAAATCGTGTGGGAGCATTTCTACGAGACGAAGAGAGCATGGGCGGATCTATGTTGGGGCAGGGGTGGGCTCCAGCCCAGCCCAACCCAATTTATTTTTATTATTATAGGTATAAGTTTAATTTCCAGCCCACCTCAAAACTAATGTCTAGCCCAGCCCAAGCCTACCAACTTTGTAATTCTATTTGATTATTAATTGCATTTTTTCAGTAGATAGTAAAATAGTTTTTATTTATTATTATAAATTTATAATGATTAAAGATAGAATTAAAGATTATAAAATGATTTATTTATAATGCAATTAAAGAATAGAAAACGATGTATTTACTATTTAGGCATGTAAGAATGGATTCAAAATCTCAATTCAATTTTAAAATTGGGAATACTTATTAGTTTTATGTACATCGACTATTTTTACTTATTAGTTTTATACTTTTATAGAAGTATTTTAATTCATATCAATAAATACTAAAATCTTTAATAATCAATAATAAAATTATAAATCACACTAAAAACGTTTAAATTTTAGATATGTTACCTCTGTCTCGTTTTATTTAGCCATTTTTGACTCTTTACTCAAAGATGGTAAACTTTGATCCATCATTTTAACTCATGTATTAATGTGAAACTTACTAAATTTATACTTTTATGATAAACTTTTTAACAAAGAACATTTCCATTTCATTTTCATATTATCAATTGTATTGTAAAAATATATAGTCATTCAGAGTTTAACTTCTTTGACTTGAAAAGTCAAATTAGTCTTAATAAAAGTCGGAGGTAGTATATAGTTTATTTCTATAATTTATAAGTTGTGAATATGCTCGAGTCCAGATCAAACTGAACATGACTATGCTCGAATTCAGCTTGAATAACTATTCAAACTCAAAAAAACAACGGCCGTTTTTTTTGTAAAAACAAACTATTTAAACTAAAATTTAGCCTGTGTTCGAGATTGAAGCTCGTTAAGCTTTGGTCATTAAATTAAATTCGAAATCATGATCGAACTCGAGTAGTTCGAAAAAAACTCAGTTCAATAATTATCAGTCCTAAGCTAAACCTTTTGTATGCAATAACGAAAATTTTTACTGCTTAGCCCACCCCACCCCTCATTCCTAAATCCGCCCCTGGAAGAGAGTAATAATAACATACTTAGAAGCTGTTCTCTTCGCCTGATCTGAATGTTTCTGATCTGAATTTTTTAAGTTCTGATATGATCTGATCTTAATTTTTTTGATCTGATCTGATCTGAATCTTTCTGATCTGATCTGATCTGATCTGAATCTTTCTGATCTGATCTGAATGTTTCTGATCTGGTCTGATCTGATCTGAATCTTTCTGATCTGATCTGATTTGAATGTTTCTATGATTATAATTATAATTATAATTATTATAATTTCAATTACAAATATAATTTAAATAAAATTATAATTATAATCGTAACTATAATAATAATAATAATAATTAAATTTAAATTTAAAATGAAAACAATTTATACCTATTACACTAATTATAAATATAGATATAATTATAACTGTAATTATATTTTTAATTATAATTACTTATATAATTATAATTGTAATTATAATTACAATATTTATCTCTATAATTGTAACTATAGTTCTCAATATTATTATAATTACTCCATAAAATAATTACAAAAGTAGTAGTAATAATAATAAAAATAATAATTATAATCATAAATTATAATTATAATATAATAATAATTATAATATAATTATAATTATTATAATTATAATTAATAATAATTATAATTATATTAACATTAATTAAAATATTATAATATAATAATATAACTATAACTATTATAATTATAATTAATAATAATTATATTTATATTAACATTAATTATAATATTATAATATAATAACAGTACTATAAATACAATTAATACTATCATAACGATATTATTATATTAATATTATTATTACAATATATTAATAATAATACGATTATTATTATTATTATTATTATTAGTATTACTATATTATTATAATATTATATTATAATTATAATTATAATCATAATTATAATAATGATTGTAATGATAATTATAATTATTATAATTATAATTAATTATAGATATAATTATAATAATTACAATTGATTATACTTATAATTATAAGAATTATAATTGTAAATATAATTATAATTACATATAATTATAATATAATATTATAATAATATTAATCATATTATTATTATTATTATTATTATTATTATTATATTGTAATAACAACAACAACAACAATAATAATAATAATAATCTTCTTAATAATTGCATTTATATTACTATTATTATATTAAAATATTATAACTATTATTAATATCTTATTTCTTTATCATATTATTATTAATATATTAATAATAATTATATAATAATAATAATCATAATATTAATAATAATAATAATTAATATAATAATAAAAGTGATAAATCATGTGTGAACTTTTCTGATCTGATCTGATCTGAATGTTTTTGATCTGATCTGAATGTTTCTGATCTGGTCTGATCTGATCTGAATCTTTCTGATCTGATCTGAATCTTTTTTATCTGATCTGATCTGAATCTTTCTGATCTGATCTGAATCTTTCTGATTTGATCTGATCTGATCTGAATTTTTCTGATCTGATCTGATCTGATCTGAATAAAATAAGAATAAGCAATAAGTAATAAGAATAAGACGAACAGAACAACACCTTAAGGAATACGATGTCCTAATTAACGATTGGCTAAAACATATAGCCTAGTTAGCATTCTTGAATACGGTTGGGGGCAATGGTTTTGACATAGTTTTTTCAATTCATAGAGTTTTGTATTTGGTCAAAGAGCGTATACTATACATGCCCATATTTAATAATTCATCCGTTCCTTTTTAATTGTAATAGTCCACTTTTCACGTTTGTCAATGCACATGTTTGACCATTAATATCTTTCATTTCTTATTAGTAAAAAATTTAAAAAATTCAGATTTTTATAATTTAGAATGAGAAGAATTTAACAATATTTTTTATAGATTTAATTTATAATACATTATTAAATAAAATATAGTCAAAGTAAAACATGTGAATAGTGTAAAAAGTCCAATGTTGCAATTAAAAGAGAAAGGAGGTAGTAATATCTCCCTCCGCTTAATCCCCTAGTTAAAAAATTGCACGATTTTTTAAACACTAATTAAATAAAATATTTGAGTAAAGTTTAATAAAGAACTTTGATACATAATAAGATGAGTGGTGATAAGTATTGATGGAATAAATTGTCCCAAGTAAAAAAAATAGAGCATACATAGTATTTAATCGAGGGAACCAAATCAGTGAAAATGATGAGCTTTTTGGATGAAACCATACCAACGAGTCAACGACGGCAGTAAACTTTTATTATATTTGTGTAGGAGAAGCTACGTGTACAAAGCCTATGAAGCTTTTAGGGAAAGTGTTAATGAAGACATGAGTTAGGAAGTACATATGTGTAAGAGAAGAGAGGAGTGTGATGTTCTCCTTTCTTCATTGAGTAACTAGTCCTTAATCAATCAATTTTTGCAAGGTAAGTACACATGTATAAGGTATGATATGAGCCTGAGTGTGTTTCCTCTTAACTTTTTACATAGGGTTAAATTGTATGAATATGCTGATAATTTATGAATATCCGGCTCTTGACAATACCTTATATCCAGACTAATATGAGTTTGAAGGAATATTCTCCATCAACTATAATGTTATAAATAGATATTTAATAATGGAAACCAAAATGTCATTTTTAGCTTAGGCATTAGGTACCAAATTAGCCCAAAGTAAGGCTAGTATTTGTTAGACAATAAATCAACAATATTTGTTGATTGATTTTGCATATAAGTTCACTTTTTATGTAGCTTTAGTTATTAACAATGCTCAAAACAATTGAGAAAAACTTACTTTATCAAAACTGAGTGAATTAGGCTCATCGCATAAAATTAAGATTATTAGTTGAAATTTTAGCTAAAATTTGGTATGAGTAAACTAAACTTGATAAATAAGATGCTCAACAAATTTATCAAAAAATTCCACCGGGAATCACCACAAATCGCGACGACCGGAGAGAGCTTTGTATATAAGAAAGTTTGATGATAAGAAACTCAAAACTTTACCGTTTTACTGTAACAAGGTGTCGGTTTATAGAACTTTCTTGGAAGCAAGATAAAATTCTGGGTAGTTGGTCATTCCTGAATCTCGCTTCAATATTGACTGTCAATCCACCTGGGAAGATCATCAAACACAGCGCGCCCAAATTTTGCCCTGATTATCTTCAGCTTCTTCTCCCTTGATTACGCGCATTCTCATTAAACTGCATTTGGATTAAAAAATCACCTTATTTGAACTAAATACATTTCGTATGAATCGGAATTGCTCATTCTGAAATAGGTCAACTTCACACGCATCTGGATGTTAAAAACTGCGCGTAGATTGATTGGATCAGGTGAAGGAGAAGTGGGCAGGGGGGCGGAGATTGATCGGATCGGGTGAAGGAGAAGTGGGAAGGGGGCGGAGATGATGGATGCGGTGTCGGTCAGGGTGCCGTATAAGAATTTAAAGCAGGAAGTGGAGCTGGTAGGGGTAGATGAGCTTCATCTGCGTCGGTTGCAGGTTGATTCGCCATCGTCACCTCCTAGGGATTCCAATGGCGACTCCACGGATTCGAATTCTCACCACCCGCCTGCAAACAGCAACCTGCTCACCCTGATCCTCAGTTGTACAGTTGCCGCCGGCGTCCAGTTTGGCTGGGCGCTACAACTTTCTCTCCTCACCCCTTATATTCAGGTATATACCGCCACATTGCTATTACAGTTTTGTGCATTGCTCAGTAGATTGTAGAGTTCAAGCTGTTGTTCTAGACTTCTAGGAATGTGTATTTGTATCAAATGTACATTAGGCTAGTAACCATTTTACGCTAAATTTCAAACTGTGGAATGAACAGATGTATGCCTCTGCGGAATTGCAGCTTGAACAGATAATATCATTTATTAGATTTATGGTCAGAGTCAACCTTGCTAGTGATTACTATATTGGGTACCCTGAATTGCAGAAAATAAAATCACAGATCTACATCCAGACCACAAAATCCTTTCCCTGGATCTTTTTATGTCCACAACATAGTAGTATCATTTTCAGATCCAATGTTTAGTGAGATTCCACATGCTGTGACCCCTAGAATCCAGGATTTCTGTAAAGGACCATTTAAGTTGGTCATAGGCTTGTTTGTACTGTCCAGCATGCTTATATTTGATGCTTCTGTTTGGCGCAGACTCTTGGAATACAACACGCCTTCTCTTCCTTTATTTGGCTATGTGGCCCAATTACAGGTCTTGTGGTAAGTTCTGATTCATATCTTTTTAACATTGATAGTTTGAAACTATCCTTCTGGAAGTTAGTTGAGAGAAAGATTTTCAATGTTAGGTTGGAAATGATGTGGTTAAAGACTTAAATATACTAGTCAGGATATACTGTTATTGTTGTTCTTATTGTTATCCCCCCCCCCCCCCCCCCCCGGTGAAAGCTCAATTAATTTGAATAACTTAATGAGTTCAATCATCTGAGAGTATGGTTGGAGTCTTGGAGAGACTCAGATTGAATTGCAAATCATATAATTATTAGCTAAAACTGGTATGTACTTTGTAATACTCCTTTAAAGAAAGAACTTTGTGGCTGATATTGTATCTATATTGATGAATAAATTTTAACAACACAATTTCATTTTCTTAATTCCCATGCCAAAAGCAAGTAGGAAGTTTAATATCGGTTGGAGGAGATATTTTATTAATCTGAAAAACGACAGTTAAATTGTCTGATCAGCCTAATAAGTCCATATGCTTCCATCATTATACCAAATGGGTCCTTAATCTCACTTTAGATATTAGATAATAAAACTGGTATACATAGTAAGGCCTCTTTCAAGTTTTACTGGGATGGCAAAACTCTATAACTGACATGGCATGTTGCCGTGTTTTACTTTTTATTAAAAGCATACATCAATTTAGTCGGGTACTCGGGTGAACTCGAACTTTTGGTACTTCTGAATTTCGCAGAGAACAAAGTTGATGACAGGTAAAATCTAAGAAAGTTTCAAACAACCTTTGTCTCTTTCAGGTGCAACCTTGTGTTGGAATATGGAGTGATAAGTGCTCCTCCAAATATGGCAGAAGACGACCTTTCATATTTGTTGGATCTCTCATGATATCCTTGGCTGTGAGCATTAAGTACTTGTGTTTATATTTAGTTTGTAACACTAACTTGTAATGCACTATTATAAATATATGAGCTAACCTGATATTGTGATGCAGGTCATAATAATTGGATTTTCTGCAGACATAGGATACATTTTAGGTGACACGCAAGAGCACTGCAGGTTGTCATTAATTCCTCTTTTTGTACGGCTCTAATTTTCGAGGACTAGATAGTATAATGTTTTGTAACCAGATTGTGACAATGCAGCACTTTCAAAGGTACTCGCACAAGGGCTGCTATTGTGTTCATTATTGGATTTTGGCTGTTGGATCTTGCAAACAATACTGTGCAGGTTAGTGCCAAGAAAGTTTGCAAGTTCAGGCTCAATTTGGTAGCCATAATAGCCATACGTATTCTGCTTATCAGCAGGATAATCAGATAAGCTGCTTGACTTATTTGGCTGAAACTGGCTTCACCAAACGTTTTTTTCTTTCAGAAAAGTCAATAGATTTAGCCATTTCAGAAAAATAATCTTTACCAAACAGGCCCTAAATTGTTTAACGATGAATCCATTAGAGTTTTGTAAGAGAAACATAATGAAATAATGTTCTTTCTATACTGTAATAAATTACAGGGCCCAGCACGAGCTCTATTGGCTGATTTATCAGGTATGTTACTGCTATGAGAAATGCTCATTGGTGATTTGTCAACTTCACAAGGTTTCCGTTGTGATAAAAACTACATCTTTGATTTGGTGACAGGTCCTGAGCAGAGAAATACTTCAAATGCTATATTTTGCTCCTGGATGGCTGTTGGAAATATACTAGGATTTTCGGCAGGCGCCAGTGGAAATTGGCATAGGTAATAGTCACATACTGATGTTGCGTTTCCTCTATTGTATATTTAAATAATATATTTATTTCCATTTAGGTCATGATTTGAATAACTAAACCCGTAAAACTCTTTTATATGTACATGGTTTTGGACAGATGGTTTCCTTTTCTGATGAGCAGAGCTTGCTGTGAGCCATGTGGGGACCTCAAGGCAGCATTTTTAGTAGCCGTGGTGAGTTATTTTCTTGGAGAGAGGTCAGATAAAAAGAACATATTCCTGGAAATAATTCCTGTAGTCTGGGTCTCTGGGATACGTATGAGAGAGCAATTATTTCCTTTTTAAAAGGGAACGTTTTTAACTTCGGTCTTTCTTTATTGAGGAATTTCCATAGTAGTACTACATCTAGAGTGCTTCTAGAACTTTGTTCCTTAGCTTCTTGGTACCCTTCATATACAATCGTTTGTTGCCCTTGAGAATTGAAACCACTAGGAAATATACTTTTGGCTAATGTTTCGCAGTGAAAAACTAAATATATACTCATACACCTCTGTGTTTTCTTCTAAGTGTACAGACTGATTTTTTATGTTATACTCCAAGTTAGAATTTAATATTACGAATTCAGTCTTATGCTAATAATTTTCTTTATAATGTGTTGAACTTCCTCTGTCACAAAAAAAGAATCATGTTTCACCAAGCTACAAACTTTAGTTTTGCAACGGTACAACTATCAGAAATTATGTCTTCTAGCTATTTTTATATATTTGTATGCTGATTATACTTGTTTTGAACATGATTTTTTGAAAAGGTACTGTAAATATATTGGGAATTGGATCATTTTGTTAAAACAGGACTCTGTTTTAGGACAGAAGTGAGTTTTCAAACATGTCTCTTTTTATGGGATGATGGAAGTACTATAACTTGCTCTTTATATTATTAATTTAGTCCCTGATAATACCCCGTAGCCCTTTAGTTAAATACCTAAAGATTCTTTCTATTATGATGCTTTCAGCTCTTACATATAGTTTTTTTCATGATCTGAATGTTCCTTTTGTGCAAACAAACAGGTGTTCCTGGCTCTGTGTACTCTAATTACTCTCTACTTTGCAAAGGAAGTTCCACTGGCAGCCATGCAGTTTCACCGGCTATCAGATTCTTCTCCTCTCTTGGATAGTCCACCTGATACTGGATTTGACATTTCACAACCAAAAAGTGATATGCAGCCCATCAACATGGTATCCGTTAACAAGTCTGAGAATGGTTATATGGATAATAACAATACTATTCTGAAAAATGAAGATCGAACGGTAGGGAATGATCCAGCTGATAGCTTTAATGACAGTCCAGCAGCAGTTCTGGTTAATTTGTTGACCAGCTTAAGACATCTGCCTCCGGCTATGCATTCAGTACTTGCTGTCATGGCATTGACGTGGGTAATTTCTCGATTATAATTAACTTCAGTTCCCATATTATTTGGCACTATGTAGTTTGGGATCTGCCTTTCACATTTTGCGAGTTTAGTCTCTCAAATCTTATAATTGAGATTAATTAGTTGATACCGTTAAAATTACTGTTTAGTTTAAGGTTTATAGATATATTCTGTAATATAAAATGCTCTCATGGTCTTTAATATTTAACAGTGCAAATGATGATTTTAACGGGAGGGACTTATTGTATCTAGTATACAACAACTGAACGACTAAATTTGCAATAATTGGAAGGCGAATTCCAGACTACACTATACCAAACAAATGGGGCACTAAAAGTGCGATTTTCACTATGTATTATGAAGATCTTAATCATGGAAACCTTGTTATGAATAATACGTAGTAATATTTTTCTTGGCTTTAATCTTCTTAATTTATCCGTTTACTAATATGGTGTCCTCAACTCTTGCAACCAGTTGTCTTGGTTTCCCTTTTTCCTTTTTGACACTGATTGGATGGGAAGAGAAGTCTATCATGGAGATCCAAATGGAGATGTTTCTGAAGTAAAAGCTTATAACCAAGGTGTCAGAGAAGGGGCATTTGGTTTGCTATTGAATTCTGTAAGATTTCCTAATCGAACATCATCGTACATCATTCTGTTTTCTTTTTCTGTTAAAAACACCTAAATCCAGAATAATGTTGATGGTAACATTGTTTTAACAGGTTGTTCTTGGCTTAACATCTTTCCTTATTGATCCAATGTGCCAGTGGATTGGTGCAAGACTGGTTTGGGCTATTAGCAATTTTATGGTGTTTGTCTGCATGGCAGGGACTACCATAATTAGCATTGTTTCACTCAGTGAATCCTCAAACGGAGTTCAGCACATGATTGGGGCAAATAAAGCAACTAAAATTGCCTCACTGGTTTTATTTGCTCTTCTTGGCATTCCTCTTGCGGTAAGTTATGACACTCCTAATTCATTATCTTAAGGAGTTCACATATACCACTTCTTGAGTATGCCATATCAAATCATCAATTGTCTACTGGGCTTTCTTCTATTATTAGGATGAGGTAAACCTCACTTTTTGAGGATTCTTTGCTGGATCAGTTAGGCCCAACATAACATGGTATCCGGGTTGGGTCCAACGGTTGTTTTTGGGGTACTAGCCACTTACTTGATAAAGAGAGTTCACTAAAGAATATTATTCAAATTCATGAGACCACTCATGGTTTGGGTGACCTGGTGCCGATTTGTCCACCCCTTAACTCGTCTAAAGAGAGTTCTGAATATCTATCTACATTTGCATCCAAATTCAAATTCAACAAAGAGAACTAAAGAATATTATTCAAATTCATATGAGACCACACATAGAATCTAGCTATACAACCTTTGGTGTGCATGTATCGAGACAAGAAGATCTTGAAGATTGTAATGGACTTTTTACCACTATATGAATGCACAAAAAAGCTTCCAATCTATTAGGAAATGTCTTTACCAAATGAAATTTTCTAAAGTCTTAATATACACTCTGATTGTTACATTTGCTTAAATTTCATTGATCGAGTGAGTTATGTTCGGAGTGCAATTACATCATTGGCTTAATTACTTTCTATTATATAAGTAAGTATAGGGTAAACCTCATCTCTTGAAGATCTTTTTGGGTTAGTTAAAGCCAACCTAGCACTTTTCACAGGCTCACAATAAAAAGCTCGAATTCTAATTGATCCAGATTTATTTGGTGGCAGGTCACATACAGTGTTCCTTTCTCTGTCACTGCAGAGTTAACAGCTGATGCTGGTGGAGGACAAGGTATTTTGTGAATTATATTGTTTGTTGTCTATTTGATGGCTAGACATTTCCACGATTCTTGAAATTTAATTTGTTGGCAGGCTTGGCCATAGGAGTTCTCAACCTTGCCATTGTCATACCTCAGGTAACTTATCATTTATGTTGAAACTACTTTGCGTCTTCTCCAGTATGACTAGTTAATCATCACTTCTCAAAAGCCTGTACCTTGTAGTTTCTTTCTGTAGGCCGTGTTTGATTAAGCTAATAAGATTGGATTGGTATGACCGTATGATATTATTGAATTATTCCTTGCATACTTATAAATGGGGTCCAAGGGGCAATGGGTCATATTGCTAGCTTGGCCTCCTTTTTTTGCAAAAGGATTTCAAACCTTGGATCTCGGGGACACGAGGAGAGGGACTAAACTAGTTGCTCTGTGCTGGCCCTTTCGAACATAAACGTCACAAAATTGCATTATCCCTAAGCACATCATGAAATCACACTTTTGGGTTTTTTTTTAGATTGCAATGCAATGGTTAGAGGTGTTGTAAATTAATCCTTGGTATAGAATAGCCTTTACACCTTCCACGACTCTGCTATGATGTGAACTAGTATTGAAGATAACCATTAACTCATATGTTTTGTAAAGCCAATTGCAGAAAAAGTTATTCTAAAATGGAAGGAGAACTGGTTTATCAAGTCCATAATCATAAAAAAGTAAATAAAGATGAATTTTCGTTTGTATCTCAATTAGTTGTATTACAGCTCAGTTTCGTCTTGGTCAGTATTCTATGGAGCATGTTCTTTTTTTTATATTGCCATTATAACAAAATATCTAAATACACTACTTTTTTTTTATATACAGAGTATTATCTAAATATACTACTCTAATATTATATAGCGTGTTTATATATTGAGTCATATTACTGCAGTTTTTAGTAGATTTAGCTATACTATTATCTACATCTCTGCCACAATTGTTTATGCTTTTGCATTATATATTTAGGACTGGTGTTTATGTATTTGGATCTTATGAATGATTTTTAAATTTCAATTGTTACAGAGAGGTGTATTCTATAAGTTCTATGTATTAGTTAGGAGTCTAGGGTTCTTTCTAGAGTTGCGATCTCTCATCTTCTGATCCTGACTAGGAGCAAGTTTTCAAAACTCATCCCAATTGGTCCTCTATTTTGAAGATGTAAACGAGGCTGTAATGGTTTCCTTTGCTCAATGGTTTGATGGTGTTATCACTGTGCTTTTTGTTAGATGATAGTATCGCTTGGTGCGGGTCCCTGGGATGCTTTATTTGGTGGAGGGAATATACCAGCGTTTGCCATGGCATCGGTATTTGCACTCGCTGCAGGCATCATTGCAACTCTAAAGCTTCCAAACCTCTCAAGCTCTTATAGATCAACTGGCTTCCATTTTGGGTGACTGTATATTATGCACTAAGCTCCTTACAAGGTATGGATCTCTGACAGTAAAACCTGAAATCCTTAGATTTACTGAACATGGATTCCTCTACCCATTCTTTTGATTTTTTTTCTCCCCTGAATTTGGGAAGGGTATTAAATACATGTAGTGACAGGATAGCTACCACTTCACAAATTCTTTTTTGAAAAATGATTTGGCTTTGTATAGTCCCATACTGACTGGCAGATACATTGTCGTTCTTTTTTTCTTCCAACACATAGACACTCAGAGTATGTTATGTTATACTACGTATATATAAAGTAGATTAATGAGGCAATCTGTATCTTAAAGGCGGTTCTGTGGTGCCTAGCTCTATACTTTGTTGCTATTGGATGTAAACTTTCGTTTCTCTTTTTTAGTCCTTTTAGTAATGCTAAAAAAATTTGGAGTTTGAATTTACTTAAATTGCCAAAGCTGTGATAGAAATGATTAAATTGGCTGGATCTGTTGAAATATGAAGAAATAATATTTGAAGTATTCTATCTTTGAAGTTTGAACCTGTATTCCATAACATTTCGTCAAATAAAGTTTACAAGGGCTGGTTTTTGATAAAGTTAGTTCATCTTCGTTAATATTTACGTATTTATTCAAGAAATATGAAGAAACCTGTATTTATATGTATACATGTAATCAGGGCCGGCCCGTACATATTAAGGGCCATGTTCAAAATGTAATTGGAGGCCCTAAATCATAAAATGTACAGAGTAAAATTAAAACAAGCATTAAGAAAGGTGTGAGAATAATTTGTGATAAACTTATATTATTTTATTTTCCTAACAAAGGAAACATCATACCTCCCAAAAACATATTTGCCGTGCTTATTAAAAAGAGTAGGGCTACTCGAGAAGATTAAAGACGTGAAAACAGAGTATACCGAACATATGCCCATGAAGAAGTGAAGAACATGATAGTACCTTACATACATAGATGGAAAAAATATTGAGGTGTGAAACTGTGCAAAGCTAAACTTTGAAAGGCTGAACTTATCCTTCTGCTCCACTTCAGATTGAGATTTCAGCAGAATTCTTAGGAAATTATTTGATAAAAATTGTTTGGAGAAACAGATCTAGTAGAACGGATTTGATAAAGAAATTAATATAGCATAAATTGGTCGAGTCACTTGGTTGCCAATCAAAATTTTGTAATTTTGTAAATTGTATGTTTTACGAGGAGTCACGATTGAAAGATGAGTCGCATCGTTCATTCTTCCGCATTGTAAGAGGCATTGTCGCCAAGCTCAAATATTAAATACTCCTATTCTAGTCGTTTTTTGCTCCAACTAATAGCAATAACTATTAACATACGTAGTACTCTATGAATTAAAATTGGGAAATTTTGGGGGCCCTCCATTAGTGGAGGCCCTGTTCCACTACACCACTTGCACTCCCTTAGGGCCGGGCCTGCATGTAATGAACGTGCAAGAAATATATCGTATTGTACCAACTCGAAACATATGTTAGAATTAGGGGTTTTTATTTGAATATTACTAATTTTGAACCAATTACAAAAAAAATGAGCACTTTTAAAAAGGGGCAAAAAAGTGATCAAGAAGTTCATATTAATGTCATTCCCAGGTTTTAATGACACTATCCTGTTTTAATGTCACTATCAAATGTCACTGCCGCCACCGCCCGTGTCACTGCCGCCACCGCCCGTGTCACTGCTGCCACCGCCTGTGTCACTGTAACCACCGCCCGTGTCACTGCTGCCACCGCCTGTGTCACTGTAACCACCGCCCGTTTCACTGCCGCCACCGCCCGTGTCACTGTAACCACCGCCCGTGTCACTGCCGCCACCGCCCGTTTCACTGCCGCTACCGCGCTACCGCCCGTGTCATTGTAACCATTGCCTGTGTCACTGTAGCCACCGCCTGTGTCACTGTGGTCACTGCCCGTGTCACTGTGGCCATCACTCGTGTCACTATAGCCACCGCCCGTGTAACCGTCGCCGCCGCACTGTGGCCACCGCCGCAAGTCACTGTCACTGCCGACGTATGGCACCGCCCATTACCTCCACCCCACCGCTGCATCTGGTGACCACCGCCTAGCCCCACCGGCCACAGCCTCGGCAACCACAACCGTAGACAACCGCCACCCTAACCGTGACCACATCGACCCCTCCCCTGCCCACGAGCCCCTTCCCAAGCCCCACCCCAACCCACCAGCCCCCTGCCCAACCCACCAGGCCCCTCCCCCCAGGCCCCTCCCCAGTCCACCAGCTCCTTCCCTAGCCCCCAGGCCGCTGCAAATTGCGACCCAAAACCACACCACGCCCCAGACCTGCAACCGCCGTATCACATCACCACACAACACAGTCTGCCGCCGCTTTCCTTCCTTTAACTCACCTCCAGCGCAACCCTTACCATCGACATCAGATCTGGAGATCTAATCTATCGGATCTCCGTCGCAATTGAAGCAATCACAGTTGCAGAGGCCAAATCGGCGTAGAAAGGAGAAGAAGAGGAAGAGTTAGGGCAGTAATGACCACCGTTGCAGATGGAGAGGTCGTCGGAGAAGAAGAAGAACGATGCGATGGACGGTCGTGAGAAGAGAGAAGGCGCAGGTCCATTGAAAGAAAAGACGACGCTGGTCATCTCCTTCGCTCCATCGCCGGTGGGTGAAAATCGTGGCTGAGAGGGAATGTCGCTGAGGGGAGACGCAAACTAAGGGCCTGGGGTCAGGTCATATTTTTTGAAAGTGTAAAAACAGTCATATTTTAGTCTATTAAAAGTGTATAGCTAATACTTGTGCCATTATTTCTTAGAATTACGCAGTTCGCGAGCATTACAGTAATACATGTATAATATGATATATTTCTTGCACGTTAATTACATGTCTACATATAGCGATATACATATACAGATGCGTTTAAATATTCTACTGTTTAAAAATGAGATTTTCCTAAAATATTACTAATAAAAACTTATGGACAAAAATGTTACTATAAATTACTATGAGCAAGTTTTGTAGTTACTATGATGGAAGTCATGTAACATTTGAATAAAACTATAATCACTAAAATTGTTATATATCACCAATTTTTTTCCGCCAATTTTATTTTGATTATATATTTATAATTATTTCTTTAAGAACACGGCACATAGTATATGTCTTATATATTAGATTAAAGGTACAAACAATGAGTAATATAACAGAGTACAATTCTGGTCAGGTGCGCCTGACGGGCAGAGCCGTGCGGATTTGACCGTTTGAGTGCCTTCCCGGTGAAATTTCTTGATGAAATTTCTTGAGCATGTTCCTCATCAAATCTAGTTTATTCATACCAAATTCCAGTTCAAAATTCGATTGGTAAGGTATTCACATAATTTTTTGAAACATACTGCGCATTATATGTGCGTAGAATGCGCCATATGTTTCAAGAATTTATTGAATGCCTTCCTGATCGCATTTTGAGCTGAATTTGGTGTGAATAAACTAGACTTGGTGAAGAATATGCTTACAAAATTTCAATCAAAAAAATTGCTCTAATATAACATATGAACCTTCTACAATTTAAGATGTAGTTTTCCGATTAGCATCTTGTTGATTTGTTTTCCGATTAGCATCTTGTTGATTTTTAGCATATAGATTTAATGTATTAAATTTTATTGTTCGTCCAGCAAATTATTAGTTTACAAATCATTATGGCTTTTCCCTAGAATATTGCTAATAAAAGTATGGCTGGACCGGTTCCGGTTCGGGCCTGGGCCCGGCCGGGCCTCGGTTCAGAAATGGGAGGCCCGGGTAATCCCGGGTCCGGGCCGGGCAGGAAATAATTAAACAAAAAACCGGGCCGGACCACCTCAAATGGCCCCCAAACCTCCAACCCTCCCCCCTCACCCCTCACCCCCTCACCCCCAAACCACCCCAAACCACCTCAAATGGCCCAAAATACCAAGCCCAACCCAAAAACATAAAAAAATTCAACAAAAAAAATAATTTGGCCCGAACCGGGCCCGAACCGGCCGGGCCGGTTCGCCAATCAAAGGGACCGGGCCCGAACCGCACAGTAACCGGGCCGGGCCGACCCGAACCACCCCCCGGACCGGTTCCCGGGTCGGGCCGCCCGGCCCGAGTCCATCCCTAAATAAAAGTCAATTTCCAAAAATGTGACATTCTTTCAAGAGGACAAAAGTGACTAAAAAGGTCATATATTTGGAAAAACATGATGTCACTGTCAAAGTTTTATGTCACTTTCAAATTTCTATGTGACTGTCAAATTTTTACGCCACTTTTTACTGTCACTGTCGATTTTCGTGTCATTTTCAAATATCATTGTCGTCGTGAAACATGTCACTGTGATCGCCGGATAATTTCTCGGTGACTTTTTCCGGTAAAACAATGACCTCCACGGCTAGCCATTGACCACAGACACCCCGTTGCACCACCACCAACCACCGCCAACGCCACCTTCCGACACCGTCATCCTACCACCCCGGCTGTCTCTCATAGACCTCCCATTACACCTGCTGCTCCCCACGCCCCAGCACCCCATACTCAAGCCCCTGCCCCTCAGCCATCCTAGCCATCAGTCTACCTGTCGGTCGCCGCCCCCACCGTCGTTGACCACCGCCCCACCCAGCCCCCCTCTGCAGCACCTCCTTCCAACCAAACCTTTCACCTGCGAACCAAACCCTCTTCCAAGCCCTAGCCATCCCTCCAACCACCTAACCGATACGCCCCACTCTCAATATCCAAGTAGCCCAACAAAATTAACCTCATAATCGCACTACCATAGTAGATGTGAACCCTAGTCATCGATCTGAAACTGTAGCCGTCGAAAATGTACGGCGGCTCCATGGACAGTGGTGATGGCGGGCGAGCAATGGAGCAGAGCCAGGTGAGCAGAGGTGGTTCACGGAAAAGAAGAAAGGGAAAGGAGTTGCAGCAGCGGAGAATCGATGCAGAAGAAGGAAGGGGGCTGGTCGCATCTTCATCTCAGGCTCCAAATCCCCAATTGTAGAAGAAGGTAAAGTAGCGTAGAAGAAGGGGCTGGTGTGCGAGACTTTTATTTCAGAATAGTCACTTTGCTCTCAAATTTAAAATTGTTATATTTTTGCCTAATAAAAATTGGGAGTTAATATTTGTGCCATTTCTTCAATCATTATTCTATCAAACACTCAACTATTACTTTTAAATTAAATCACTTATATTTAAAACATAACTAACTTTATCAATTAAATACTTTTTCAAGAATACGTTAAATTAATCACTTTTTAAAAGAAAAAACAAAATCAAACGCTGCCATGTTGTACTCCTTTTTCTTTTAATTTAAAAGACATACGGAGTACATTTTAATACTCAGAACAAACGGACAAACATCAAGACAAATAAGATATTCCAAACCGGATCACAATCCCCAAGATTAGACATAGAATTAATCACTCATTAAAGAGTTGATTTATTTGCTAATT